TCTTGCCCTGCCTTCTCCGGGGTGCCTTTGCTGAGACCCTGCGCTCTGCCGGCGCCCGCGGTCCCGCTGTCCTTTCTGCCCCGACTCATCCGAATGACCCTCTGCCGGCGGCGGCCTTCTACTGTCCGGATGCCCCTTGTCAGGTTACTGACGTGTTACATTGAACTGCGGGTATCAGACGTGTTCTGATATGCTCTGCCATGTTTTCAGCCTCCTTGCAAAATATGCACCCCAGGGCCCGACGGATTCAGGAAGAAATGCAGGTTGTTAAAAAGGGGCCACTTATTTTTAGATGTGCAGTCTGATGCTTACCTCCCTGCTGCAGGGATAAGTTGGGCAAACATCTAGGTGCCCTTGAGCAGCAGTCCCAAGGGCACGGGCTGCGGGGCAGGTGAGGTCCCCTCTCCCGAATCATAGCAGGATGGGGAGGGCACCAGCGGGGCTGTGCGCCGTCCCTGTGCAGTGCCACATCGGACATCATTCTGGAGGGGCATCTGTCTGGCCCCTTCTCTAATCTACAAAGCCTGGTTGCGTGGCAGATCTAATCCAGTGCTCAGCTGCCCACCAGTCAGCCCTCTCCGCTGCCCAGCCGCCGGCTGGAGTGCTGCTGCCTCCCGTGCACAGGACCAGCTCTTCCTGCCTCTTCAGCGGGCCTCAAAGGAGCACAGTGCTGTATTGACGGGACAAAAGAGTGCGCCAGGCCTTAAGTAAGTGGTTGCTCTTTCTATGGTGGTCCCCATTACTTAATATGGCCTTAATCAAAAGTGAAGCTGGATAACTTATAAATGATGCAGAATCATTAGCAATTAATGCATTGGGCAGGGCTTAACTGCGTCATGCTTTTGCCAGAGAGCCGAGCAGAGTGTTGGAGCATCTTGGCTTTACAGGAATGTTTTTAATAGTTGGCTTCAGAGAGCACGTTTTTTGGAGCCCTTGTACTCACAGATCTTTATGCAACAGCTCTAGCATGAAAGTGCTCCGACCTCAGCTGCAGAGCAGGCTGGAGAACGTTAGGCTTAATGTGGTGATCATATGCAAAGCTTTCTATGGTGTGAGCTGTCAAAGAATCGTCTAGGTTGGAAGAGACCTTTAAGATCATCGAGTCCAACCACTGACCTAACACTACCAAAACCACCACTAAACCATGTCCCTCAGCACTACATCAGCACATCTTTCAGAATATCTCCAGGGATGGTGATTCAACCACTGCCCTGGGCAGCCTGTTCCAACATTTGACAGCCCTTTCAGTGAAGAAATTTTTCCTAATATCCATCCTAAACCTCCCCTGGCGCAACTTGAGGCCATTATCTCTTGTCCTTTGAAGGTCTCGTCATAACAACTTTAAGTGAGGTCCCATCTTCCGTATCGTTGGGATTAAACATTGTCCTGTGTTTCTAGGGTGAACTTCTCCAGTTTCGACTTTTGAAACTTCTTGTCTTGTCTCTTTCTGCTAGGTGTGCAAATCCCACGTGCTCAGAAATGTCTTTTTTGCAGTTTGCTGAACTGCAAACTGACCAAGGGACACTCATTTTTCCAGTGAAGAACTGCTGCTTGGACACCCTCAAGTCTCACTGTCACACAGGTTCGGGTCTGCTCGCCTGGAGCCTGCACAAAGTGCATTTATGATGCATGAGGTCTGAAGCACTGACCAGCCACGTGCGTTGTGGCTCCACCATGCCCCGTGTGCTCTTGCCCTCTCTCTGTTTGGGATACTTGGGAATTGGCTCTGGGTGTGACAGCCGATCATGCTGGCTTTGAGAGTACTGTCTTTGCAGTTTGATACCAGGGTAGTTTCACCCCTGGGATGCCCTTCTGCTGCCAGTGAGTGAAGATCCCTACACAGGGTCTGTGCAAGCTCTGGCGAAGTGCAGTTCAAGCAATACTGTCAGCCCTGTGTGTATGCAGCAGTGTGGCTCATGGATCAGTGCAGTACACTTGTTCTCAAATCATAGAGTGACTCAGCCCCAGGGCCATGTCTCAGCATCCCCAGCCTGAAAACCTGCGCTGGGCCAGGCTGGGCTCTTGCAGAAGCCTGGAAAGTTCTCGTGCAGAGCCGCGAGCCTGCTACAAGCTCCATTCACAGACTTTTGTGTTGCAGAGATGTCAGACCCTGCCTTTAATTTCCCCACATACACTTAAAGGCTGGGAAGTCCAACTGCCCAGCTTGGGCACGTTCAGACCTCTTCTCATTCTGTTAAAAGCTACCTAATTTATTACTGTAGATGTATCCTGTGAAGCACCAGGTCCTGTTCTTGTCCTGAGGCCAGCTGGCAGGGTCTGGTCACATCCATAGCACTAAGCTCATGAGTTCCAAAGAGGGGAGCACATCAGAGCTTCCTACTAGGAATGGTTCATGGCTAGTGGTAACACCTGACCCATGCCCAGGAGTGGTTTGGGCACACGCTGGCTGGTTCAGGCCAAAGCAGATCCCAAGACCGGTCTCCATCGCTGGATTCCTGGGCTGCTCCTGACCTCGTTACGTTTGCTAGCATAGTAGTAGCCTTGAACAGCTATTCTTATGCCTGAAAGTTAGCAGAAACATTGCAGCCCCCGACACACACCCATGCTTTGAAATGCTTCTGCCTGGGACAGTGCAAGGGAGTGGTTATTTGCTAGCTGGCAGTGTGCTGTCTGCAGCTCGGCTGTTAGTTGTAGAACTAACCTGCACGCTGGCCGTGGCTGGAGCAGAAAACCAGACCACGCCTGCGGGGAGATCGGCTCCTGTGCGTGCAGAGTACATGTGCCCCATTCAGTGGCTGGGTCTGGGGAGTGCAGCTTTATTCAGCATGTTTTGCTGTTGGCTTGTAGGAGAGCAGGATGGCAGGTAAGGACATGGCTCAGACTCCCCCTCACAGGTTAGAGTGGTGAAAGAGAGTCCCACTGGCAAACCTCTAAGGAGACACACTCTTCATGGGATAAAGGATATTTGAGAGTGTCTTTGAGTCCTTTCCAGTTTTCCAGCCTCATGTTGTGGAAGAGGGGGCGCAGCATCCTGTGATGTCCTTGTTCATGTTGCCTCCAATAGCTCTGTCTACTGGTCGTGCGGCAGGCTTCTGTTGGTGGTGCACTCAGTGCTCGTGTCTCTCTGAGAACGTGCTCTCTCGGCTCTGTGGGTAACCCTCCTGTCTGTCTTAGTCGCCTGTGGCCAACCACGAACCTGCATTTCTCAGGGTGAATCACAGCCTTTTCCCGGTTAGATCTGTCAGGGAGCTGGGTATATTCAAATGTGAATCAATGCATCTAAATAGCTGACCTGCAGAAATGACCTTTTCTTGTCACTCTAACTGTGGTTGTTGTCGGTGTCTATGGTTATCTTTTTTCTTGTTCTCAGGTGTCCTCTGGGGCTTTTTTTCTATCTGTATAAATCACAGCATTGAACCTGTGCTACACAAGCAGCTTGTAGAAGGACGCTATCTTGTATACAGGGAGAGAGGACAGCAGCCTCAGTGTCTTTCCTCATGCGTTCCTGTGTCTTAATTTCCAGACAAAATTGGGCTTTGTATGTGTACCTGTGTGGGATCCTGCCATGCTCTTAGTGTTCTGAAATGTCAAAATGGTGATGGTGCAGACCACGGGTGAGCCAGGCCAGCTTTCTGAAGGACAGCAATGGCTGAGTGTTGCTGCCAGCTTTGCAGCCGATGGCGTCGCGCTGGTGGGAGAGTCAGCGCTGCCTTCTGCATTGGGCTTTCCTCCCCACTCTAGAGCAGGGAGTAATGCCAGGCAGATGAGATGGCCAGATTGAGTTGCATAGTGTGTTTATTCCAAGCTGCCCCATTTTTCTGTCACAGTTGATATATAAATACTGTGTCTGGGCTGCTTCCTACGCAGTTCTGGGTGGTGTGCCAGGCATTTGTGATATGCACATCCGTGGGACAGCCCCAGAGCTTAGAGGAGTCTGATTTTACCATTGCAGTCTTGGTTGAAGAATTGCTTTAACATAGGATTTGTTTGGACTTTTTGGACCCTACAGAAACACGGGACTTCCCTGCCAAGAATCTACTCTGTGCCCAGGCTGAGCAGGAGCCTGTCATGCCTGGCACCCCTGCTTCTGCTAGTGCTGGAGCTGAACGAAGTAAACTTTCCAACAGATGAACATCTGGGCATCGGTGAAGGTACCTCAGATCCACAAGCAGATGCCCTTGTGAAGAGCTGATGTGAATGTCATTCTCCTGTCTGATAACAGGGTGTCTGCAGTGCTCTGAGACAGGCTGCAGGGACTTCTCATGTGACTTTGAGCTGCAGGGGCTGGTTAAATTGCCATGACAGTCTCTTAAACTTTGTCATTCTTTTTTGCTCAGGACAGGCCTTCATACATTTCCCATTTCGATGTCTGCAAGGTGCAAGGAGCCTACTGGGAACCTTTCGTGTCTTTAGCTGGGTCTGGCAGCCTGGGCACGTGGTCAGCACTGCTAATGTCTTTTACGTGGAACACGTGTTATGAGCAATAGGCTATGTCTACCACTGCAAGTAAACCCTGCAGAGAAGAGCCAGCCAGATGCCTCGCGAGCTTGTCCTCCTTCCCCGCTGTAGGACACTGCAGGGGTGAGGTGTGCAGTGAGCACATCTCGCTGACAACCAGGCAGGGAGGAGTCCTGGCCAGCGAGTGAGGATGGCCAAAGCCCGCGGGTGTCGCAGAGGGGTGGCTGCACACCAGGAGTAGCTCTGTGCCTGCACACCTTCCCCCCAGGCGGTGGGCAGCTGCCCACTGGCCCAGTAAGCACCATGCCGTGTGTGTGTTGTTGCTGGCAGGGGCTCAGCCTTGTGCACCGCCTGTGCCACTCCTCTCCTGGGGACAGACTCCCCAGAGAAGCTGCTCCCTGTAGCCCTGGCCAGTGTGCTGCCAAGGGCAGGTGTTGGAGAGGCCACGTGTGGTGGTGTGCAGGGGTGAGTGCCTTTTCTGAGACATCTTCTTTTGTCTCTTTCCTGTGCCTTGCCTTGGTCCATCCCTGGCTCACCCAGACAGGCCACCATCCCCCGTCAACGTGACTGTGACGCAGCTGAAGGCAAACTCTGCCACAGTCTCCTGGGACGTCCCAGAAGGCGATGTGGTCATCGGCTATGCCATCTTACAGCAGGTACCCAGGCTCTGTCCCCAGGGGGCTGGGGGCCGCTCTCACTGATTGCCAGCATGCACCTCTGTCAGCCCTTTTGCTGCAGTTTGGAGCTCCTCCGGCATCTGCCTGAGGACACTTTGCTGTTGAGCAGCCTTTGCTAGGGCACCCTGCCTGAGCTACCCATCCTGGTGGGAGGCAGCAGACCGCAGGCTGTGCTGGGGGCAGCCATTCCTCCAGTGGCTTCCCTGCGATTTCTCTGGATAAGTATGGTGCTTCAGCCATGACATAACCCTTCTTTGCTTGCCTTGCTCCGCCTCCACAGCCCCAGACGATGGTGGCTTCTCCAGGGAGGCGCCTGGCTCTCAGGCCAGGCAGGGATGCTGCATAGCAAAGCACTGGCCAGCCTGGCCCAGCCCGGGGGTGGACGATGGCCCGGGAAGGGGGCAGGGAGGGCAGCGTGCCCAGCACAGCCTGCAGATGGGGGACTGTGCCTGGTGCTGCCGGGA